TACAAACGTTTTTCGCGATTTTTGCACACTTGCGAGTGGAATTTCCCGAAACCCCGTCTTAACGTGCACCTACATCACATAAGGTAACTACAGTGAAAATTTCAGCTTCCTAGCTCTTACGGTTTGGGCTGTGCGTTGATCACCAATCAGTCAGTCAGTCAGTCAGTCAGTCAGTCAGTCAGTCAGTCAGGACAAACAGTTTTATATATAGAGATTATACTTAATTCATTTTTAGAACTTCACATTAAAATTTGTTACTAAGAAAACCGTTTACTATTGTTTTCGTCCCATCCCCTTAAATATCATTTTCAAACATCTATGTGAAATTTTATTTACGTCGTGATTGACCAAATGCGAAAATCATCTCCGATGACTGGAAATAAGGGTCCAAAATAGTGAGGAAATATTTAAGTTTTTCCACGTTCGGGAACTGTATGTATGTATGAACGTTAAACGAATATACATATATATATATAGCAAAATTTAACAACAACATATTCGCAAATATCGCCCTATTATGCGATTCTCATGAATACAAGCCCAACCGTTTTTGAAGTGTTAGAATGTAAGTGCAGGTTATCTAATAAACTTTAAGTCTGCTCATACTTAAACTTTTACTTGCTATCTTGCTCTCTATCTTTCTCCGTAAGAGCTACAAAGCTGAAATGATGACTAAAATTTCTATTTGGGTCGAAAGTTACCACTAAGAAATGATTTTTAAAAACCGAGCCTCCATGTGCGGGAAAATGCAAATAAAGTTTGCATGAAAAAGACAACACAGCCATATATATTTGCAAATTAGACGTCGTGAGCCCTTGTAACTTAGGTGTCTAAGCATCGGACTGATAATCGAGAGACCGCCGGTTCAAATACGGCAACAATTTTCAATTTTTTTAATATTTTTTTTTCTATTTTTTACTAATCACAAAGCTTACGGAAGATAAAAGACACAGATGCGACTGGAAATGCCGGGACGATTTACGTTTTGTTTTGTTTATTTTTAAAATAAAAATATTAAAGATAGTTATAATATTTGGTAAACAATATAGAGCTTCGCTTAAGATAACGCGGTATCCTTACCATAAGCATGAACCCGGCAAACTTTAACTTTATTACTTGGTGAGTCATTAATTTTCTTTGCTGCAACTAGTTTTTTTTTTTATTTAGCTTCCAGGAATCAGTTGCATTTCGGACATTTTATAATCTGACACCTGCAGTTTTTCTTTAGCTTTTAATTCTTACTTTCTGACAGTTTTTTATAATTTTTATTACATCTTCTGTCAACTGCCCTGTAGCTATTTATTCCGCTCAGTTCTTTCTGCTCTGCATTATACTGTGTCAGCCTTTTTTTCCTACCCGCTTTCCAATTGGAAACGCACTCGGCGTATCCTTATCGGGCTGCTCATTTTGCATTTGCTTTTTATTTTTGCTGCATACTTTCAGGCTGTGCGCATTTAATGAAGGCTTAAACGAACTGGCTGACTGGCGAACATTATGCAAAGGGAGCACGTGGAGCATCAGGAGCAGCATCCACACTCAATACCAAGAGGCGTGCGTGTTTTATGTCAGATCAGAGAAACGCTTCTGTCAAGTCTGCTGCTGCTGCTGCTGATATGGCATCCATAACCCATTTGTATTACATGGCGCAGTCAATAGCGGACCCGTGTCTAAGCATCTAGTTTGCTGTCCTTTGCAACTGTGCGGCTGTGTGCGTGAGTGTATGTGTGTGTGTGAGTCAAGCCTAAGCTCCGTTACATGTCATTGTAATAGTATCATGCTGTAACAGATTGCTGTTTACCTTGATTTACATAAGAACAAACAGACACCTGCTCTGGTGCACGGGTGTGGGGGGCAACCGCAGCAGTGCAAACAAACGACGCTGCTCAATCGCAGTGGTATTGTTGTGGTGTTGTGGTGCAGTGGTGCACAGTGGCTAGTAGCAGGTATGTCTGGCACATGGATGTGTTTCACATACACTTAAGCATGCACTTAGTCTTTGCGCCTTTCACTTCAGTTCGTGTCGTTGTTGACATCGATGTCTATGCATGGGCGTGAATAAGCACATTGCTCATTGTGTGTGTGTGTGTGTGTGTGTGGGTGAGGGATGTGTTTGTGTGTGGGATATATGCAAATTTGTTTGCCTGCTGCCGTCTTGGCACACAGAACAGCAGCAAAATGAGCCAACGCCCGCTGACGACCGTTTTTTTTTTGTTGTTAACAGTTTTCCATTTTCTTGATTTTTCTTTTGTGTTATTTCCCTTCCACTAAGCAAATAAAGTTATTTACATGCGCAACCAAATCGATTTGTGTGTATCAAATTGTGGCTCTCCGTGCAGCTGTTACATGGAAAATCAGCCCAGGAGGTGCCACCAACTTGGCCAGAAGTGAAGTGCAGCCAACATTAAACAGTATTCAGCGCTGAAAGCCACAAAGTTTGTTCTTTGTTTTGGGCTCATTTCAAATTATTGTATAAACTTTACCTGCATGGTGCAGGATATACGAGAAACTACTTTTCAAATTCTGCTCGAGCTGGTCTGAACTTAATGGACAGATTATTAAAAGCAATAAATTTTTAGATAAAAGTCAACAACATCTGTTTAAGTTTTGTAAGCTATTAAAAATAAATTTAAAAGTCAATCAAGGTGACAAAACCTAAAACAAACAAACAACAAACATAAATGGTATTCCTTCTTGAGATTGTTTTAGGTTCGAATAAATTATGAAAGCTTAAAATCTATGTTTAGCATTTATTTAACGAACCAAGAAAGAACCATCTAAACGTAAATTAATACATACATTTTTATATTAGTTATGAACCCGAAATCGAAAATTATAATAATAATATATGTAATAATATAATATTTAATAATATAATATTGTATGGCTTAGATTTAATAACATTTAACATAACTACGACGTAAATGCTTCAGGACATAAAAATCTATTGCAATTTGATAAAGTTATAAAATTCTAAGTCTTATCAAGAGCACTGAGAATGAACTTGGGAATTTAGGAGACATTTGATAAATTCTCTTTGTCAACATCAATTGATAAAAAAAGAAAATTGCTTAAAAAAACAATATCTATAAGAGTAAATATATAGTCGATCAACACTTGGAATCAAATTGATCACATTTAATATGATGAATATTGTAATTATCAGGGCAAGGTTTATATGAAGGCTAGTTTTTGAGAAGCCCAAAGGAAAAGCCGAACTCTGTATTTTGCATGGGAATATCGGGAGTTTTATTGAAAACATAGACAAATCTAACAATAATCACCACAGCGCTATCCTATCCCAATTAACCTGCTTAGTTCGAGGCTATGTACACATTACTTTGGAATGAGAACAAAATGAATGATAAACTAACCAAATGATGCACTGTCTGAACAAATGAAGATAGAGATTATGTTATTTTATAAATACCCACGATATATATTTTTGATCAGCGCCATTATCATTTTCTTTATTAGTAAATCGATAGAAAACGAACCCAGATCAAAATGTAGCATTAGTGAAACTGGCTTTGTTTTGCAAAAGTCAGGTCAGAGGGGAGCTTAAGCCGGATGCTAATTGAACATGGAATTTGAAGCATTACAAGTTAAATGTGTTAGAATTCAACACTTTTGGCCCCTGGCTGGTAATCGAAGATTAGCACACAAATAAGCAAATGAACTGTTGCCTAACCGCTGAGCCGAGCCGATGTGGTCGAACGATGGAGAGAATGGGGCCCATGGTCTGTCACCTAGGCGCTGCCCACAAGGCCCCATAATTAAAGCAAAAAATTGTCGGCAATTTAATTAAAAGCAATTTTTGGCCTGGGCGTTGTTTATGTTGTCAGCGGGTTGAGCAAGCGGTTGGCTGCAGCCAAACGGGGCATAAGCCGCTTTAGGGACACAGCGGACCCGTACACAGCATGTTGGCCCTGGCAAAGGATTTGCATTTGTTTGTTGTGAATGTTTCCCTGCCCCCCTCCCTTATGCGGAACAATTACGCAGAGTGCGTGGTCAAATGCACTGGAGCATGGATTGTGGGCGTGACTGGACAGCATTTGGTGCGGTCGCGCAATGGCTCCGCGTAAATCCTACGTTATCCGGCCGATGCGTAGCAGGGCCAGGCGGACCCAAGCCAACCCATTGCGCTCCATTGTTTGCGTAATTCGATAAATTGACGGTACGTTGGCCTCCATGGCTTTTAAGCCCAGTTGCCCATTTTAATAATTTTTAATTAGCAGCCGCTGGCTGACAATTTTGTGACCGCTCTGGCAAAATTGGTTTTTAATTAAGTTCATTTTGCGTCGCCCCAAAATCCGCTAAATCTAATGAATTCAACAATTGAGCCACGAATATCTGTAAAACGAAAGTTCGATGTACGCCATACAGGAAATACTTTCTGTTTTCATTACAATACATGTAAAGTATTCAGCTGGAAACTCTATAGCATATATCGAAAATAGAAAAAGCTGGTAAAACCAGCGAGCCATAAAAAATGTTCGTCAAAAGTCTGTAAAATTTGTTCAATTCAACTAAAACCCCCACTTGATTGTGGACGAGTAAATAATTCAAACTTGAAGTCTCCAGTTTCAAAAGCGTAGAAAATTAATTGCAAGCACGCAGACAGACGAAAGGACTGCAAAATGGACATTGCTCAAAATTAATGTCTCTTCTTAATATGTTTACAGAATATTGAAACGATCAGTAATCAATCATTCTTAAATTCGGCGATATGTACATTCGTCTAAACAAATGTGCCTCTCTTACTGTGTTTACAGGGTATTAAGAAAATAACTAAATATAGCTTTAATTTCGCATTTAATCAGTATTGCCTGCAGACAAACTAATATGCCTCTTTTTTTATTTTTACAGAGTATAAAATAGCTCAAAGCTAGCTCTTAACTAATATGCTTTTACTATATTTACAGAGTATTACAAATAAATAAATAAAAGGCATTCTTAACTCGCCTCAGTAACCACAAGGCGTATACATAATAGAAAGTGACTTATTTCACGTGCTCAATAAACAACTGTATTTCTTGCGTATTTTCAAAATCAATTCACAAAATCAATCATAAAGTGTTGCCACTTAGATCCCGGCAGCAAGTGGCTGACTTGGTGGTGCCACTGTTGGAGTCCAATACCATTGGGCAAAGTACACACAGGCCTTGGCGTCATCCAGCCAGGCCTGGGCAACCGGACAAGAAGCCAGCGAAGCGGGCACACCCAGAGCCTGGCATACCCAGTACTGGTTCTTCAAGTAGAAGTGTCGATAGGCGCCCACGGCGACTTCGGCCTCCGTCTGGCAGCCCGGCTGGCCCGTGGGCTTGCCCAAGGGTATAGCACTGGAGCAGCTGACCAGAGCAAGGCACAGAGCGAACAGATACAGATAGTTCATGATTGCAAGTCGTTGATCTCAAGACTGACCTATGCTAATGCCAAAGCACTGCTTATATAGAGCAAAAACTCAGGTGTTATCTTATCAATGGAACGGAACTAATCACAAAATAAAATAAGTGCGACGCGATGCTGTAAACAGTTACGGCCTGGCCTTGTAAACAGGGCTCCACGCAGGGCCTGTTGCTATTTGGCAGACAGTTTATGGCCCTGTTTGTTTGCGCAGCGGAGGTCGCGCGGTGGGCAGGGGTTGGAGAGGGGACGGCAACTGCCGGACCAGCCGCTGGAAGAGCTTGCATATTCATGACATCAGCACGCCTGCTGTAAATTATTTCGAGAGATAGCCCTGGCAAGCCACAAACAAGCGGACCAACAGCTAATTAATTCCAAACGCTGCCTTAAAGGCAATTTTTGGTCGCAGGCCAACGAACATTTTCACCTGGGCAAATGAGTTTGGATGGTTACCCACTTTTCGACTGGCTTTTTGGGCCGCCTTAAGCCATATTAGGTCGCACACACTTGAGTAATTGCCCTCGCCAATGCACGGTGGCTGCAGTGGAGCCTCGACTCCTGGCGCTTGGGGCCGGGCGGAGCTGGCGGCAGCATTTGAGGCCGCGCACGTTGCGCACTTGGCTTTGTTTGCTTTTGGCCATAAATTAAATCAGGTTATTAATGTCTGCCATTAAATGAAGCTACAGGCAGGAGCGGCACAACGACAACGACAGGGACAACTACAAGCTGGGCATTGCGACCGCTTTGTGTGTTATCCTTGCACGGCGCCTTGCTGCTTGGCCAGCGCCTTGAGTCCAGCTTTTGTTGATTTATGCTAATTCGTGCGGCATTTCAAGCATTTTGAAGTTATTTCCAGATTTTCATACACAAGTGCACAATTTGTATGCACTTTTGTCTTAAATTTGAAAGCAGCCTGCAGATAAATGGATATTAGAAGATAATTTATTCTTCCGAGCCTTAAATCCAGCCTGAAGCACGAATATTGTGATTCTTGAGCGAGCAGCTCCAGAAAGGCTTAATGTCTTTTATTTCTTTGCTACTGACTGGAAGAGCTCCTCCTCTTCTCCCTCTCCCTTTTTTTCCACCCTGAAATTCCTTCTCACATTACTTAATGGATATCTCCTAGTCGACCCTCAACACTCTTACGCATGCCATTTCTCATTTAATATTGCCATTTAAAATAAATGTTAAAAATTGTTATTTGCCCTTTTGATATTGTGGCCTCTTTGAAGTGAAACCCAAATTATAATTAAATACAAATACAAATATGTTTCGCAATGATGCAATTACATATTTCCAATTTTTTGTTGCATTTTTAATTCCTCTTTTTTAACATGCAAACATTTTTTAATATTTTTCCCTTTTTTTGTGTTTGCCACTTGCTCGCACACAACAAAAATCGGCAACCGCTGCAAAAAATAAAAAATAATATGAAAAAAAATACCATAGAAAAAATGCGTTTGCAGCTCGTTTTATTGATGTGCTCGTTTCAGGACTGACAAAGGGCTTGACTGAAAACTGGCAGAATGCAAAAAATAAAATAAAATAAAAATAAAATAATCAAAAAATGCGCATTTGTTTTTCAAGCCAAAGCCAGCGCCAAGTGGAGTGGAAATGGCAATGCAACTGGACTAGTTGCCAAATGCACCAATATTGATTTATGACAGATGTTTTCGGTGCCGTCCAACATGGATTTAAATGTCACTGTCAAAAACTATCAACACTTGCGATTTTTGGGGGGGCGTGGGGCGTGGGGCAGGGCTGGTCAGCTTAATTGCTGTCACAAGTCAAAAGTCTGTTGACCAATGAAATTGTCTCTGTTTGTTTGCATTTGACACACACTGTGCGAAACACGCACACTTTGAGTCATCTCCGAACGAACAACACGCCCATTAACAGATAGCAGATAGCTTATCGCTCAATTGTATCTGGCACTTGACATTGCATCTTTAAACACGTTCAGTTAGACAATTGTTTAGCGGCAGTTGACTTCTCCGTCAAGCTGAAGATGACTGATAAAGTTTGTCTGGTGCTACAAGCAAATAAGACGCATTATAAATCTCTTTAAGTTCAACGGAAATGGCATCGGAAATGCCTAAATGTCCATCATGTATCTTTTGTATCTGAACTAGAACAGCTTTATGTGAAGGGGGAAATAATTTATGATGATTCGCTCATATCCGTGTATCTAGTTGGCAGCTAGAAATTACAATGCATAATCATTATAAAAATGTTCCTGGCTGGAGTACACTTGGGGAGAAAGTTCAAATTACAAGAAAAATTTGTATTTTAGGGATTTTTCCTTACTACATATCTTTTTTCTTCTTCTTTTTCTCCCATTCAATTTTAAGAATATTTTGATATATATTTTATTTCGCTCATACTGGTAATCGGAAAGACATTCTGTTCTCATTAATAAACATTTAATATCTTAAAGTGACCGCAATCAATGCTGATAACATGATTGCCAACCTGTTGGTCGACTTGGTGGCTCCATGCAGGGTTTCCACACCCAATCGATCCACGATATGCATGCGTTTCTATCCTGACTGAAGCCCGTATTTGGCTGGCACTTGAAAAGCTCGGCCTCTCCATTGAGAGCCGCGCACATCCAATATTTAGTGGGATCAATGCAATTACGTTGCGGACGACCCACCTCCACGGGCTGCTTGCAGCCAGGCTTATATGTGTCTATGCATTGGCCAAGCGCATTTGAGGCCAGGCAAAGGCACACGGCCAAGAGCAGTAGCAGAGCTAAAAAGGACAATAAGTTTCACTTAAGTGACTTTATCTGAGGCCAACGCAATGGTCTTACCTGCAAATCGCATTATGGATAATGGCACAAACCGTTGGTAACTGGAGCTGGTCGAGCTGCGGTGCAGCGGTTTTTATAGACAGCTTAAGTGCTGGGTGAAAAGTTCAGTTCATTGTACTATGTAAAAGCACTTGTTTCTATATTGTGTACATACTTGTACTGTACATATCGCTCGAGTGCCAGCCAAGGTCACGATTTCTTCGAGTGTTCTCTCTGATTGTTTTTCCAACAATAAATGACTTGGTGATCCCCCAGTTCAAGCTGTTGTCCAGCATATAACATGCCACTCACGCATTCTGCAATGGCTTAAATGGGGAAAAAAAATGGACAAAAGAAAACAATAGAAATCCCTTCTCAGTGCTGGCCACAAGGAATGCAAGCTTTGGCAATAACAACTGCATTTGGAGCGACAGTTCCACAGAAAAGCGTTGCCCTTTTCCAATTTTCTTGGACATGACATATCCATTCCTGCGACCCCCATACAAGTCAATTGTGCTGCAGTTCAGTTGCATTGAAATGATTTCGAAGCTTATTAAAGTGCTGCAATTTTCATTTTAAAGTTTTCAAATTTCATCATTCATCAGAAAAAATTTTGCTTGCTTAAAAAAACAATTTTTGGCATACCAAAACGGGCATATAATTAGCTAAAAAACCTGCGACTCACATTGCGTCTGACTGTTTCTCACGTATTCAATCGCTGTGATTGTTTTGCCACTGCAAATTACTTTACGGCTTTGTCTAGAAAATTGCATGCCACTCATACGTCTTGCAATTGCCAAGCTCAAACTGAATTTGTACGTACGTAAGAGCTAGCAGCGTAAAACTTTGCCACATTTCCCACACACTGGCAGAGTGCAGCTAATGGTCAGAAGACATGTGTCCGAAAACGTGGAAAACTTCATTTGGAGCAAGCGTAGCACAAAAACGAGCGAACAATGCATTGCCTTTGGCCAATTTTCTAAGACATGTGAAATGCATTTCCGTTCAGCCACAAAAGGCAGTCATATATGGATAAAGGTTAAAATGAAAGAATGCAAGTCACTCGTAATAGCAGTTCTACATTAAACCAGACATATAAAAAAGGATTACTTTTTGCCATACATGCATACCATGTAAGGCTACTGAAAACAAGCGTAACCAACTACAAATAATATTTGTTCTATTTTGACCGCGCGCAAGTAATTCAAATTATACAGGTGCTGCCAGACTGTATGCACCGACCAATAAATATGTAAACAAAGCAAAGAACGTTGCCATACGCCACAGTTAACAGGGCTGCAACGCACTGCTGATGCCGCGCTGTTAACATCTGTGCGCACATTGCGAGTCACTTGAAGTTAGCTGCGCTCGAAAAAAGCACTACTATCGCCTATCGATAACTAAATAGTGGCAGCGAGAGAAAAATAAAAATTCCGCAACAACAACACACAAATTGAAGTGTAGTGCAGAATTAAATCTAATTATAACAAGCGACGCGCAAGCATTAAGAGCACACACACACCGATTCATACAAGCAAAGCTAGTTAATTAGTGGCTCAAAACGACGAATTTTGAAAACAACACAAACGCAAACGGGCAGGGCAGTGCGGTAGCGGCAGCGGCAGTGGCAGCGACAGCGGTAGTGGCAGGTAGTAGCCCAAACAGTTGTGTGTGATTGGGGCGCGCGCGCGGCATGGGTTGAGGTGTGTGTATGAGTGTGTGTGTGCGAGTGTGTGCTGTGTGTCAGTGTTTGCGGGTGTGATGCAAAGAGCAGCAATAGCAGCAGCGGCAGCAACAACAATAAGCGGCGCGTGTAACTAAACCGAACGCCTACGTAATGGCCAACCAACTGGATGCCAATGTCAAGGACGATCTGAAAACGCAATTTGTAACCCGCGAGGGCACCTATCGCCTGCTAACCTTATCCGAATACTCACGACCCAATCGCGTCGGCTACAGCAACAGTCAAAGCTCGCCCCAGGTGCGCGTCTCATTTGTGTCGCTGCCGAGTCCCAGCAGTAAAAACAACAGCGAAGCGAACATAACGGCAACGACAGCAGCAGCAGCAACTACAACAGCAACATCAACAACAACAACGAGTGATAAGCGCACGCAATTGCATTCAAATGGCGCAACAACAACAACAACACCTGCTACACCAACAACCACAGCAACAACATCAGCCAATACATTAAACGGCAGCGGGGCCGGCGGCGACAGCAACTACAACGGCAGCAGCACCGTGGACGCCCGCCTAGGCGGGGGCATCTCCATGCACTCGATGACCAATGGCGGCGTCCTGGACCAAAATGGTATGCCCACAAATCAAATCTATGGCGGAGATCGGATCTGCTTCAATTTTGGACGCGACCTCTATGTCTATGCGTTTCGTGGCGTTAAAAAGGTAAGAAAAAATGGCTTTTGTCTAATTTGCATATATTACGCACACACACACTCTCTCACTCTTTCTCTCCTCTTCGTAACAAGGTGACGTGGCGAGACTCCCATAGATCTTTCAAGCAGCCTGTTATCAGGCTGCACGCTGATAAGCTGGCAGCGAATACCCACGCTATGCCTTGCAGTTGGTCATGTAATAATACCGCACCAATTGACAGTGACCACTTAGCTAGCAACTGCGTACAGCCCCGGGCTGACCCCCCACACGTTTTGGCACAACGTATCCAGTTTCTTCATAGCACACAAAACGCTGCCTTAAACACAATCGCTTAATTTGTTCCAATTCTCGCAGCGGTTGTTATTTAGTTGTTGCATTGTATTTTGTTATATTTGTTGTTGTTGTTGATCAATTCGCTTGCTAAGCTTTTATTTAAATGTGTTTATTACGTTTGAAGGCAGCTTTTTCCACTGGAAATCATCAAACCTGTCAGTTTTGTGCGTGTTTTCTTGGAATACCCTTACGCGATTGCGGCATTTGTGCTTTGAGTCTTTAAACAAACTGTCCAAATTGTTATTGTATGTACCCTTACACAAGTGGGAACATGTTTTTTATGTTCTCAATTGAATTTGTCCGTTATTATCATTGTTATCTTTGGGTTTACCCTTACCTGTTTAGGGCATCTTCGTTTTGTGTCTTCTTTTGATAATACTCTTACATAAGCTCTCTAGTTTTAAAAATTAGCATTCTCAAGAAATTAGATTTCATTTGATTTAATTTGCCTTTGTATAACCTTTAAATCTTCTCTACAGATGCATCAAATTTGAATTGTGACACTTTGAATGAATTTCGTTGTGATTGGAAATGATAGGTCGATATAAAAAAACAAATCCAAATGAATACGGCAGTTAAGAGAATAATCTTCAGCAAAAATAAACACAAAAGAAGTTTAACAATCTTTAAAGTGTATGCACACTTCGAGTCAGATAAATGCATTCTTTTTCTTATTTGCCAAGCAGCTGTTTTGTATTCTTGGCGTTTTAAACTACAACAGCTTGCATTTGCCTGAGTTTGCAAGCAATTTGCAAAAACTTGTTTAGGTCTTCACTTGGCTAGGCGGATATTTTGTGACGCAGGGCTTAGAATCTTTTGCATCAGGTGCCCAACGAAAATTCTGAACAAGCCGCTAATTTCCACAAAGCTATCTGAAGGTGTGCTAATTTGTATACCCAATGATCGAGTGAATAGCTTAAAGAGTTTGTACAAAGAATGCGATTTCTAATGCTTTTAAAATCATATTAATCTTTAAGCGGAGGCATACTGATAACATTTGTGGGGATCCATTTTTTATATATTGTGGAATGAGAAAGATATAAGCGCAATTTTATAATACTCTGAGATTTCTCATAATAAAATCTCAATTTCTCATATCCATAAATCTAAATACTAAAATGTAGGGAATTGGTTAAATATAATATGTTAAGTGGGTTCTTATAATAGAATCCTAATTTTCCCACAAAATATGCAATATATTTAAGCCTTCTCCTAATGCTAATGTATATTTATATCGTCTGCAGAATACATTTACTCTGAGTAATTGAAAAAATATAAATAATTGCGATAATTGCATTCCGAATTTCACTTAAATAAAGTCTTAAGAGGGCGTTTATTTTTAATGTAACTGATTGTAGAATTATTTTTGTTGACTCTCACATCAGCTGAGCTTTAATGCGACACCGCAGATGCCCACCCACATATTATTGGAATACAATTATGACTAACTTTGTTTGCTGATTTCTGATTGCTTTTGCAGGGCACCGAGATGAGCAAACCCATCGATAAGAAGTTCTACAAGGGCACAAATCCCAGCTGTCATGATTTTAATGGCAATGCAGCAACGCCAACTGGGGCACCGCTGCTGGTTGGTTTCACAACGGGACAAATACAGCTGGTATCGCCTCAACAAGGGTTACGCGAGCTGCGCAAACTATTCAATGAGGAGGTGAGCAACAAGTCTTGACAATAAGCTTATATGCCCACATGCTAAGTGTATCCCACCCACTTCGATTGCAGCGCCTGATTGACAAGACCAAAGTGACCTGCCTGAAGTGGCTGCCAAATTCGCCGCATCTGTTTCTCGCCTCGCATGCCTCGGGCCATTTGTATCTGTATAACGAGGAGCTGCCCTGTGCGGCCACAGCGCCCAGCTATCAGCCATTTAAGGTGGGCGACGGCTATACGATACTCACCTGCAAATCGAAGTCGACGCGCAATCCGCTTTACAAGTGGGTATTTAGCACCGACAACTGCTGCATCAATGAGCTGTGCTTCTCGCCCTGCGGCTCCAATTTGGCGATGGTCTCACAAGATGGCTTCCTGCGCGTATTTCACTATGATACGATGGAGCTGCTGGGCATTGCGCGTTCCTATTTTGGTGGCTTCCTTTGTGTCTGCTGGTCGCCCGATGGCAAATACATTGTTGTTGGCGGCGAGGATGATCTGGTTACGGTGTGGTCTTTGCACGAGCGACGCGTTGTTGCCCGCGGCCAGGGCCATCGTTCCTGGGTCTCTGTGGTGGCCTTTGATCCGTATACCACCTCTTACACGAACTGGGATGGCGGTGATTTCAGTGATGATGAGAATCAGCTGAATGAATACACTGCATCCAGGGAGGACCGCTTCTCGGGCGACTCCACAGCCAAT